TATGGAGGAAGAGTAACATAAGGTTCTTATTTTTCCTATCTTTTAGCAACCTCCTTTGAGGGTGGCGTTGGCTCTCTTTCTTTGATTTTACCTTCGTCCATCTTAGTTGCGTCCTCTAAATGCCCACCACTTCTCAATCTCACAAAATTTACATGACCTCTCGGGTTTTATTCAGGCTGTATTGGAAATGTTTCAAAAGAGGAAGACGGACCAGCTTTTTCTTGAGCCACTAGGCAGATTTGAGCCTCCAACATTTTGTTATGGGTATGTATAGGGTCTACTTTAGACTCCAATTGTCTAAAGACTTCATTTATGTGTATATCTTGATTTTTAAATTCCTAGTGCTTCTTGGTTTGAGCTATAATGAAATTTCCCATCTATAATTCGAGGTTGGATTTTCGAGGAGCAGTTGTGCCCATTTGTCCTTGAAAACTACGAGGTCATATGCCTAATTAGGTAGATTTATTCTTATAGGAAAAGTTTGGATGGTCTCTCCATATAGGGTTATAGGTTTTTGAATTAGAGTTCCCTCTCTAGTTAATGTTAATATAGTTAATAGTGTATTCGCTAGATCCTCTCGTGGTCATCACCTGGCATGCAGTACCGATGTTATCATCTATTCCTCATATCTAGTATGTTTGCGTGAGAGGGGATACAATGTTAACGCTCATATTATCGAACTTTTGAAATAAGGCATATATCTTACCTATTAAATGGTCTAAAGAACTCACTTCATATTAGTATCCCTTTTAGGGAGATTTCACCATATGGGCATGTTTTTTTCCCCATTGGTAATGGTTTCATGGCATGTCCTCTATGAGTTCTTAAACATATTTGATTTCTGTATTCATTAAATCCATGTCAGCATCAACATCGATAGTCATTCTTGTAGAGTAGAGAATACCAATATAGCATGTATGAACTATTAACCATTTTTCAAGTCTGTTATGAAGCCTCGTATAATAATTCCCCTTCACTTTATTTAAAACATGTAATTTGGTTTCTTAGCTAAGAAATTTTTCTCTGGGAGAAATAACGACCCAAAAACGTAAATATAAGCTTATTCCATGTTGTAACAGAATCGGTGGGTAAGGATTGTAGCAATTCTTTGGCATTATCCCTCGGTACAAACATAAATAGTCTCAATCGAATCACTATCGGGTAAGCACCTTTTATTTTTATGGTGTCACAAAATTCAACAAAAAGGGGTAGATGTAAATTTGGATCATCCATCACTGAACCATAGAACTGGTTCAACTGAACCATAGACACCAAAATGGGTTTTAGCTTGAAATTGTTTACCTCGATAGTTGGGTGCATAATACACTACTGACGGTACTCATTAATGGAGGTAACACAATATTTTTAGGAATGATTGGGGGCTTCCATCGCTAGCTCTTGTTGTTGTCTACGCCTTTTGTGGAAATAGTGTTTTGGGGTTTTTTGCATTCAATTGATAACAATAAAAATAAAGTAAATAGAAAAATAGTAGATGGTAGGGGTGGACAGAAGAGAACCACCCGAAAATACCCGCCCGAACCGAATGTATATAGCAGCTGCGGATCGGGTTATTTCGGATGCACGGGTTGATCGGGTGAGATAATCGGGTAAGCATGGATAAATCAAGTCGGTTTCGGTTCAATTAGTTGGGCCCGTCGGTACTCGAATCCGACCGGTCCAATTTGATGTGTTCTTAAACGACCCATTCCATCAATTTTCCTCTTTTCATGTAATTTTCTTCTTCTTCTCAGTTCTAAAAGAAAAACCCTAAAAGACAGTAACAATGTTACCACCGGCGCCGTCACCCCAAGCAAAACCCCTAACGTAAACCATCCACTGCGCCGCCGTGTCGTCCTCAACGAAATCTCTTCCACTGAACAACGAGCTCTACCACTGCGCCGCCGTGTCGTTTCTTTGTTTTCAAAGAGGTTTGTGTTCAGATTTTTATTTTTTATTTTGATTTGTTCTTTTTTCCAATGGATTAGAAACTCGGTATTTATTCTAAACTCGTCATTTTCGTCACATAGGAGAAAGCTTTTTTCTGAGTTCAGTTTTGGTGTTGGAGCTATTAAGGTTCATATAAACTCAGTATTTATTTATTTATTTTCGTTTCAATAGTTCAAATACAATGTTCAGTTTTTGTTGTTTTCAATATTTTAATCACTGTTGTTGTTTTCATTACAGTGTTACTGAGAAATCTCTTCAGAGAATTGAAGAAAGTATGTGTTAGTTTTGTTTTATTTTGTTCTAATAACTTTAAAAGAGTTCAGTTTAAATTTGATTAGCTCTAATAACTTTGAATATATTGTTTTAAATGCAAAGAGGTAAAGAAATGCAAGGAGTTGGACATGGGCATGGAGTTGGACATGTGCAAGGAGAGGGAGATGAGCATGGAACTGGTGGAGTTAGAGATATGCAAAATACCGGTAATTTTAGGCTTACTTTGATGTTTTTTTAGTATAATTTTGGCATAGTTTTTTAAAACCTAAACACCAACAAATTGTTTCAGCATCTAGGCAACACACACCAAATGCCAATGAACATTCCCAACCTAATCATCAAACTACAACAATACCCGAACTTCCACCAACTAACCCAAGGAAAAGAAGACGCAATGCAAATGGTAATAGAAAGAGATCCGAGGTTTGGGATCATTTAAACCTTATTCCTAATAGTGACCCACCAACAGCTGCTTGTAAGTACTGCCATCAAAAGTATATGTGTGACTCTAAGAAACATGGAACATCAAACTTAAAGAGTCACATGAAAACATGTCCCAAGTATCCGTTGAACTTGTCCACAGACACTACCCAAACAATCTTGTCATATTCAACAACTGAGGAAATATTAAGTTCTAGGTTTAATCCTGTAGCTTGTCGAAGTGGGTTGGCTTATTTTATCATTTTGGATGAAAAACCATTTAGTACAGTGGAAGGAGAGGGGTTTAAGTACTTTTGTAGGCAGATGCAGCCCCAATTTTCTATACCGTCTAGGCGAACTATAGCTAGAGACTGCTTTCAGTTATATCTTGATGAGAAAGTGAGGTTGAGGGCGTTCTTTAATTCTGATTGTAGTAGGGTGGCAATTACAACCGATTGTTGGACATCTGTCCAAAATCTGAACTATTTGACCCTCACGGCCCATTTTATTGATAGAGAATGGCAATACCAAAAGAGGATAATCAGCTTTACGAGTATCCCAAACCATCGGGGAAAAACTGTTGGTAAGAAGGTTGAAGATGTTTTAAAGGAGTGGGGGCTAAGAAATGTTTCTACCATCACGGTAGATAATGCCACCTCAAATGATGTTGCTGTTAAATATTTAGAACAAAAAGTAAGAAACATGAATGGCCTCTTAATGGATGGATTTGGTTTTCACATGAGGTGTTGTGCACATGTGCTGAATTTGATTGTGAGAGATGGATTACAAGTTGCCAACACCTCAATTTCAAGTGTGAGAAATGCAATTAGGTTTGTTAGATCTTCACCCCATAGGGCTTTAAAGTTCAAAGAATGTGTGGAGTATGCTGGGATTTTATGCAAGAAATCAGTATGTCTTGATGTTTCAACTAGATGGAACTCGACATATTTGATGTTAGATTCCGCGGAGAAGTTTCAAAGTGCTTTTGAGAAGCTAGAAGATGCGGATGAAGCCTATAGGGATTTCTTTGAGGTTGACTCCCCCCCTAGTAGTCAAGATTGGGATAATGTTAGGGTTTTTATTAAGTTTTTGAAGAACTATTATGAAGCCACAAAGATTTTTTCTGTTTCCACAAAAGCAAGTTTGCATACTGCTTTTCCATACCTTGCTTCAATTTACATTGAACTTAAGAGGTTAAATATGGACCTTAATGGATTGTTTGCTGAGGTGGCTAGGGATATGCTGGAAAAGTATAGTAAATATTGGGTTGATATCACAAAGATGAACCAACTCCTTTATTTTGGTGTTATCTTTGATCCCCGATATAAGTTGAGATTTGTGGAATGGTGTTTTGATGATATGTATGGAAAAAATTCGGAAACTAGTAAATCACTATTAAAAGATATAAATGACAATCTTTTAACCATGTTCAACCTTTATAAACAACAATACGACACTGCTGGAGGCTTAATTCCATCTGTTGCAGCGGCTGTTTCTCATGGTGAAACAGCAGCCAGCGATGAATTACCCACATCCGTAGCTAGGGCAAATGCGTTTCAACAACATTTGATGTCTTTGGATGCAGTTGAAGAAGAAACTGAACTTCAAAACTATATAAAAGGAAAGTGCATAAGTTTTAATGAAAAGGATAAAGACACTTTTGACATTCTTGGTTGGTGGAAACATCATGTCGGGAAATACCCAGTTCTGTCCCAAATAGTTAGGGATATCATGCCAACGCCAGTGTCAACCGTAGCTTCTGAGAGTGCTTTTAGCACGGGTGGAAGGGTTTTAGAGGTATATAGAAGCTCTCTCAAACCAGAAATGGCGGAGGCATTAATTTGTGCTCAGAACTGGTTGAGGCCTTCCTTTTACCAATTCAAAGACTTGGAATTCAATGAGGAGTATGATATTTCGGAAGATGCTTTACAAGGTATTATTTTTATCTTAAGTGTGGTTGTTTAATTTATTTTGTAATATGTTGCTGAAATATTACTTTCATTCCCTGCTGCTCACCTCAATGTCAATGCCTTTTAATATGTGTAATAGGATTTGCTGAAATTTCGTCTGCTCAGACTCAGTCACAGCCTTCTGGCTGTGCTTGAAACAACTTCAGGTTAAAGACTTCCTGAATATTCAGAAGCTAAATTTGCAGTAGTTGTAAAATTGTATGTTTTCTAATGTTTCTAGTTGTATTTGCAGTATTGCTGAATTTTTTGGAGTCTTATGACTCATTATTTTGAAGCCACAACACAACCAACGACTTTTGATCCAAGATACTTTTGAGAGCGTTGTCCAAGAACTAAATATCGATAGTAAGTTTAATTACTTGCTGATTTTTTTGTTTAATATGTGTATACATGCTGAACAGTTTTGATTCTTGCATTAAGACCGCGTCTTCTGGCGTTTTTGAAGGCATAACTGTCAATTTAGGCCTCTGGGATACAGCTGGTATTTTCGCTTTCTCACCCTGTATTTTTCTCTTATTTTCGCTTCAAAGTCTCATTCAGCTGCAAAGGTGATGATCAATTTTACCCTTTTTATATTGCTAGTATTTGTTTCACAGGTACAGAGCTTATATTGCTAGTATGTGCTACTGACGACCATGATGATGTTAAGTGCTCAACTTACTTTATCCATTGTAAGTTTGCTTTCACACGAACCTTTTCAATTGGAATTCAAGTAGACATTGCGAGATGATTCAAAGTGTAGATAATATTATGTTTAATACAATTTCTGGTAAATCATTGAACCAAAAATTTTGTTGGTTATAAGAAGAAAAAAAACAGGCACCTTATTAGTCTCAATTTTAACAGGAGCTAAAAGGGAACATCCGTGTATTCTGTCGGGTGAGGCCGTTGTTACACGATGAAAGTCGTAGCACAGAAGACAAGATATTCAGTTATCCAACACCGATGGAAGCTTCGGGACGACAAATTGACCTAGCCCAAAATGGTATATCTCTTGTGATACTACATTTGAAAGTATATCTTTTTTTGGATGATTGTTTTAGTCATCATTTTATTAAATTGCCAACTTGTGTCACTCCTGTTTTGTTCTCAGGCCAGAAACATTCTTTCACATTTGATAAAGTTTTTATACCAGAAGTATCACAAGAAGAAGTTTTTGTAGAAATTTCACAGCTTGTACAAAGTGCTCTTGATGGTTATAAGGTAATTCAAAGTTTTTCTGTTGTAAGAGTTGCATGGCATTTTCTTTTTTCACATTTCTCTTGAATCATTTTTCAGGTTTGCATCTTTGCCTATGGTCAAACCGGATCAGGGAAAACCTATACAATGATGGGAAGACCTGGACATCCGGAGGAAAAGGGACTGATACCTCGTTCGTTAGAACAAATATTTCAAACCAAACAGTCTCAGCAACCTCAAGGCTGGAAATACGAAATGCAGGTAGCATTAGAGTAATTTCCTCTTTACCCTAGTATTACCAAGTAATGTAAATATTTTTTTAGAAGGTTTTTGTTATGAAATTTGCAGGTGTCAATGTTGGAAATATACAACGAAACCATTCGTGATCTGATGTCCACAAACAGATCATCATCAGAAAATGGCACTCCTGGAAAGCAACATACAATCAAACATGATGCAAGTGGAAATACACAAGTTTCCGATCTTACAGTAGTGGATGTTCACAGTGCGAAAGAAGTCGCATTTCTATTAAATCAAGCTGCAAATAGCAGGTAACTATCGTTATGACACTGCAAATGAAATTTTCCAATTTATGACTAGAATTAGACAGTTGTATTGATTATTCTGGTTATTTTCTCTTAGATCTGTGGGAAAGACTCAGATGAATGAACAATCATCAAGAAGCCACTTCGTGTTTACTCTTCGAATATGCGGTGTAAATGAGGTAGTGATGAAGTTTCTATTAAGATAATAGTCAAATCAAAACTTTATTTTATTTTCCATTCGCATTTCAATCGTATTTTATCTTCCATAGTCACGAGCAATGACATGCATCATGATGCAACCGATTTTATTTTTAATCCAGAGCACTGACCAACAAGTACAAGGTGTTCTGAATCTAATTGACCTTGCTGGTAGCGAGCGTCTCTCGAAGAAGCTTCCCGGTTATTTTATGGAATGGATTAATCTCAAAGAATTGGAGTTTATATGTTGGTTGTGTTACTATGTAGGCTTTGCTAAATTTAATTGAATTTGTAATGTATTTGATACCTATTTAAATTGGAATTTGTAATCTATTTAAATTGGAATTTTTAATGTATTTGAATTGGAGTTTGTAATGTATTTGAATTTGATACTATGTTAATTTGTAATGTTTTTTAACTATGAATTTATATTATAGAGTATGTCATTTTTTTTTTTGGAAATTTTAAGTAGTTAAATGAAAATTTTGAAAACTGTACAAAAAAAAGGGGGTAAAACTACTAAATTCTGAATTTGGGCTTAATATTTCAATAAGCCCATTAAAAATGGTACCCGAAATTAATCCTATAGATACCCGAAATCGATGCAACCCGAACCCGACTAATCCGAATCATAATTGGGTCGGATTTGGGTCGTAATATACCACCCGTGGATAACTTTGGATTGGGGGTTTGGGCCCGAACCCGAACCGGCCCGAACCGGTGCCCACCCCTAGTAGATGGTTTCTTAGTCTAAATGGTGGAATAAGAGAATTCAATATAAAAAATGGTCCCTGACAACTACATCAAAAACTTGATAGGCCATAAGCGTATAACTTATATAAAATAAATAAAATGCTATTGTTCCTTAAAGACCATTCTAATTACCAAACTTTACTCTTTCGGTGTTCATATAAGACGGTAGTTAATATTGGTTTGAGATTTTTTATTTAAAATTGATTTATAAAATAGGATTTAGGAATTTGATTCTTATCCTAGACTAATCATGTAGGTTCTAAATTTTATTTATTATGAGAAACAATAGTTTTGTAGATAAGAATAGAAAAATAGGATAATACCTACTTTCATAAATGATTTATCATGTCTTAAACCAACAAACTATCTACTTTTGTCAATGTAGTTTGTTTGTTTATGATTGATATAGGTTCAAGTATTAAAAATGAGACTTTCTAAGTTAATTTTGAGACACTTTTGTAGCCTCAAACTCAACTGGTAAGTCATTTTGAACTCAATTGTCCTATGGCCTACTCCTCTTGTCCAATCTTCATGCGCTCTATCCCGAACTCACTCCAATGTTTCATATCTTAACTTTGTTCATCTGAAACACTGATAAACAAAGAAAGTAAAAAACTATGAAGTAAAACGATAAAAACCTAGGTAAAAATAATAAGAAGTATTTAACAATAAAAACACATGCGAAAAGCAATGAAAGCACTATCGATCAGAAGGAGGGACCCACACACTATGTGGGTGAAAAATTGTATATTTTATGTGAATGTAAAGAGGGGCCATGCGTTCCAATCAGACAGATTTAGAGGGAAATGTAGTGGATCGTAAGATCAGTGTTGAACAGTCCAATTGTGTGCTCGAGATATTCGTTGAGACGGAACATGTGACCATATTTTTTTGTCCATTGTTCATGCGCATGGTGAGCACACTGTGCATGTGTTTAGGCCATTTTTTGTACTTTTACTATTTTTTGTTCCCTTGTGGTGTTATGAAGTGAGTTAAGTCTTAAACTTAGATTAGTTTCATTTCTTTCAAATACTCTGCTTTCATTCTCTAAGTTTTCTCTTCCTTCCGCACAAATTCTCTCTTTTTTTATAAACAAAAATTTGTCTCTTATATTTTGGACTCTTTTGGACCTATGATCTAAGCCCGTAATACATTCACTTAAGATTTAAAGTTAAAATGATTCTAGGAGATAGAGGAGTGTCGTACCCCAAATTTGTCCTACCTCGATGATTTTATTTTTCAAGATTTAAGTAGAAAAAATATTTAATTAAAGGTGGTACAGCAGTATCTGATGGCCCATCTTTATTCGAGACTAAGAGAATGTATTTTAAATTCATTAAAGTGGGCTTTCTAAATTAGAAAGACTCGTGTATATGTGAATCCATTCGCGAAGCATGTTGGCCAATGGCCCATGTAATTCGTAAATGGAGAGCTATTCAAATAACTATTAAGGCCAACTTAAATTTAAGTGGTTATTAGTTGAAATTAAATTTATTAAAGCCATTTAGAGATTTTCTTACCAAAAGGGGGGTGTGAATTCAATAAGGAAGTCCATTAGGTTTTCATTGTTTCAGTAAGAAGGGGGTATGATTATAATTACGGGCCCATTAGAAGCATTAAGCTAGCTCAGTTGGTTATTTTAAGAAAAAACTATTTCGTTATATATATATATATATATATATATATATATATATATATATATATATATATATATATATATATATATATATATATATATATATATATATATATATATATATATATATATATATATCAATTTTCAATAAATATTTGTATCAATTTATTAAAAGATCTTTTCAAAAAATTAAATAGGGATTTATAGAAAATCATCTGATTTTTTATTTGTGGTAAGTTTCTGTTTTATTATTTTATTTCATAATATTTCATTAAAAGATATTGTATTATATATTAAGGATTTTTGTTCTGGAAGATCTGCTGGATCGAAATTTCTAAAATTAAGCCCAAATCATGTCAAAAAAATATAGTGGTATTTGCAGTCCATTTTCAAGCTAGGCTGTAAGTAAAATAACACAAGGCCCAAAGGAATAAAGAAGAGCAGTTACTGTTTCAAAAAAGAAGATTTGCGCATGTTTTTTGTATCATCAACAATCACTGTAGAGATTAAAATCAAATCTTTATCTAAATATGCAGCAATAAATTAAAAGCCCAGAATAGCAGAAAATCTTTTACAACAATAATACCAAATCAAATATCTTTACTGAAGCAAATCCAATCTCAAACTGCAATAGAACAAACCAAGATTTATAAAACAGAATATGAGAATCCAATATATTACAAAACTCTATCCAAATCAATTACGACTATAATCAATCAATTACAGAAATTTATAATCCCTAATTGAGCTAAATTCCTAAATCTAAGCAAGCCCAAACCGTAACAACAATTCAAGAACAAAGCTATAAATACTAATGAACTAACAGAAGGAGAAAAGAGGGGATTTCTGGGCAGAAGAAGAAGGCGAGAACAAGAACCCCAAAGCTTATAGAGAGACCCGATTCGCAGTTGAAGAAGAACGGAGCATCGATTGGGGTTTCGATTTCCAAAACCCTAACCGGCCTTGATAACCTCCATCGCGCCATCTTCAAGGCCTTAAACACCACCATCCTTCCACGTAACCTGGAAAAGAACAAAAAAGAGAGGATAGATTAGCGTAAAATCACGAACGCTTAAAGAACAGAATTAGCAAGACAATCGCGAAAAGGGGTAACGTCTTTAGCTTCTTTTTTATTGTTTGGGTAGAGGGTTGGGTTGAGGAAGAACCGATAGGGTTGTTAGCGGTGCCACCGTAGATGGGACTTAGGGTTAGAAAGGGTTTGTAAGGAAGAAGAGAGAAGGAACGAAGACTGTAATTGAAAATGAATTATGTTAAAACAAAATAGCTATATCCCGTCCAATCTGGTATACGCACGCCCATAGTAATTTTTGTGTTCCCTCAATGTCATCCAGCGGATCTTGATCAGACGGCCGCTAGGCCAAGTTTGCGTTAACTAACGTACACCCTAGCCACACACGACTACCCAAGCTCTTCAAAAACCTGTAATGGGCCAAGCCCAATCGTTGTTCACCCCCCCCTTTTTTCCCTTTTACTATAACAAGTCTAGCATTGCACCCCCCTGTTCTGAACCATTTTTGGGCATAGCCCAATCTAAAACTCCACCCCATGTTTTACTTAATAATTTAAAACGATACCCTCTCTGGTAATTATTTATTTTCTTCATTTTTTTATAATGATTGTTATATTTTAATTATATTTTCTTATTATTGTTATTATTATATTTTTATAATTATTATAATTATTATTATTAATTTTCATATTATTATTATTATTATCATATTTTATTATTTATTATATGTAAATATTATCATGTAAATAAATAACTTTTATTCAAACTCATGCATATTATTTTCTCATATATTACATTAAATATTTTAGTCTTGCATTAATCAAGAATTTTGCAATTAATACGATTAAAAAACACACAACAAATAACATATTATTTTTTCGTAGTCAACTAATTTAATCAACTGTTATTGCAAAAGGGTTTCAAAAAGATTTTGACTTACCGTGCATTTAGTCAAAATCTCCACAATCATTACTCCCGGCCAAAATGCGAGGTGATTCAAAGTACGTTTGCAACCCCTAAAAAACACCAAGCCCATACGAACTACAGATTGGGACTCTGGTTCCTCATAAAAGGATACGTAGGCATACGATCAAAAATAGTAGTGAGTTCCCCTATACAAAATTTAAACCCTTCCCCTATAAAAAATTTAAACCCTTCCCCTATAAAAAATTTAAATCCTTTCCCCTAATAAAATTTAAATCCCGTTTCCCCAACTTAAACCTAAAACCTAATATCTTTGTGAACAAGGTAGATGAAAGGTGCCTAACACCTTTCTTTCATCTAATGAAGTCGGAAACCTAGAATCTCTGTCTGCGAATCAGGGTTTTCTGTTAAATTCCCTTCTCTAGGATAAAAACTAATAGTGGCGGCTCTGATTAAAAAACCATTTTCTACAATGAGGAGATAAGAGCCAAGCTCGATTTTATAGCATAAAAACTAATTCTAGTGATGACATGACGGAGGTAATTAATTTTAATTTTTCCTCTAGAAAAACGTGATTTCGATGTTTCCCCTCTGATAAAGATCCTTCCCATATGAATTATTTTAAGTTTTATAATAATTTTAAAGTGCATAAAAAATAAAAAAAATGTTTCATATTTTCAAAACTGCTTATGTTGTGAAAATATACAATATAACCCGACTTAAACAGTTTAATGTTGGAGTATGCCTTAAAACCTTTGTTGATGAAGAGAAATAAAATATGTTTCAATATTGTCAAGAAAGTAACAAGAATGTCTGGTTTAGGCAGTTCACATATTTTGGGTTTGGCCAATTTGGTTTGCGAATCTGTTTATTTCATATTAGAATACTAGATATATATTTATTTAGAAATTGTATAAATCAATTTAAAAATATATTATAAGATA